ATATATATATATATATATATATATATAGATAACTCTTAATATTCTAAAAATACTGACTTTTTCCAAGAAGAGATACTGAAAGTTATTTTTATCAAAGGCTGCAAGTTTATTGCCAACTGATTAGACTCAGTTTTAAGGTTACTGTGGAGCTTTGTTCGTAAATTAATAAATAAGTACTGTTTTGTTTATCACATACAGGTCTTTATTTGTTTCTAGAAGGTTAAGCCTTATCTATAAAATAAATTGAACATAAGATATGGAATGAAATAGGTTTTCACATTAACGTCGTAAGTAAAACTAGTTTGACAACTTTCTTACTGCATAAAACCAGTAAAAAAACACATCTACTTGTACACCAAATACCTAGAGCCAAGAACCAGTTAGAGAAGAAATACATTTTTTTTAATTGTTATTCTTTTTAACAAATTTTACATACACGTAGTGTACATACTAATAAAAAATGAAGTCAATAAATCTGTATGACTTTTCCTTCACCTCAATGGCACCAATAAAGTAGCTTTCACAGCCTATCAAACAATTTTACTTTTACATTATGCAAATTATACTGCTATATTTACTTATTTCAGCTCCTCAGTAATAATAAAAACACAGTTATTGTTCTAAACACAAGTTTTCCGTATTGGTGTTCTTTTTTCGATTCTTTAACAAAACCTTTAAGTGTGTGTCAAACAATAAGTGAGAGAAAAAAACTGACATACATTATGCACATAATTATGAAAAAAAACACACATTAAAGCAAAAGTTGACTGATTTGGTTATACCAGCCTGCTGGCTACCAAACTGCTGAATCTACAGATATTGTAGTATCCAAAAATCTAGCTTTATTTTCTTCAGTCTGTTCACAAACTTCCTTCAAGAGTTGACTTTGTCTGAGTAGATTCTTCTTGTTTATTTTTACTTGCAGATGACATCATCTACATGCACAAAAAACATTAACTTATACAGTAGCATGTTAGTTTAAAACAATAATAAACTAAAAACAAACAAGATTACTTACAAGAAAAAGTTGTTATTTATCTATATTTTAGATTTATCATATTCTGATACTTACTGAATGTATTTGTAATGTTTTTTTTTCATACACGAAAAATAAATATAGTAATAGTGACATATTCTAAATATAAACTAATATTCCTAGTTCTAAGAAAATATGAAAACATACACTAAACATCCATTAAAAATCTAATTTGACAGATGAAATATTCAGAGACAGCCAAGCAATCAAAACTACAAAAACACATTTTTCTTTCAAGTATTTGTTATAACTGAGTAAATGCATGAGTTATAGTTATGGTTACATGATAGAAGACTTTTTTAGCACTGTTCAAAGCATAGGATCTCCAATTATGGAGTCGTGCCACAGCACATTTGTTAGCGAGCAGTCCAGGTAGCATGGTGCCATCCCTAATTTTGAACCACCAATCAAAGGAAGCAGATTAATCCAAGTTAACTACTGTATTCTCAAATGATTTGAAATTAAGCCTAATTATAATATTTATAAAATGTTATGAAGAATATTAACATTTTAAAGAACATTCATTGAAAACAAAAGTTATAAAGGCTTAACTAAATATACCAGATGCTTCTTACCTTTTTAATATAAAATACATTTTTTAAGACAGTGAAGTTAGGTATTTTGCATAAACACTATTATTCAATTCAATCATCTTTTTTCAGTCATTAAAGTCATAACAATTAATTATTACACCTAATATTTACTATCTGTTCGACACTATAGCAACAGGGCATACAAAATAAACCCATTTTTTGTGATAGTTTAGTATAAAGTTGTGCAATCTAAGTAAGTTAATCTAAGATGACTATTGTTTTCTCAAAATTAATTAGAATATTTGTAATGAATTAATCGGATCTTAAATAAAAAACAAAATTCTGAGAGGCAATTATATGTAACTACTCATATATTTTAAAAACTTCACTTGAGTAATTAAAAAAATGACTTTGCCAAATTATGACTAGAATCTAAACATCAGGAATTATAATACTCCATTGTCTATCTAAAACAAGAACAACAAAAAGATCTGCACATGGAGTATCATGTAAATCTGGGAAGTATCAAGAAAGTAAAATAAATAATAAAGCTTTAATAAGCTACCACAGAAAAAGAAAAAATTATTTAGTTCATACACAGACACATATATATGTATTATATGTTTTTTGTATATTTAGGGTTTATTAATCTTAGTGTTGTTTATATCATCAGGACTTTTTCATGAGGCTCTCTTTTTTGTTCTAATCTTTGTTTCTAAGTATTTTGATATTTTCAAACTGAATAGCACATTATGTGACACATCAGCTAAATTGCCAGCTCAGAGACCCCTTAAGGTTCAAACATAGTCATCTCTAGTTAATAATCGCTGACCAGAGGGAGAAAAATCCAGTCAGCAGCATTCATCACATGCTCTTAAGCACACAGTGGGATTTACTGACAGTTATAAAACTACCACAGCTTAAGAGTGAAAAACTTGCTCAGCAGTATATTTCATGCTCAAACCTTGGACCTTGCAATTAACAGCCTGACATGCTAGCCACTAGCCCATTCCTTGCTCTGTTTCTGAGCATCCTTTACAACTAAAATACACTATACAACTGTCATGTAATGCACACAAGTTTTCTTCTCAGTATTCTTATATTCAGGAATGTATTTGATAAGATAAAATACAGCAATATCAATACATCAACATTTGAAAATGTAATCTTATTTTTCCAATAAAAATGCTTATATATATAGTAAGTCTTCACATTTTTCTGAAGACATATCCTGATATGGAGACAAAGATGGGAATGATATAGGAAAGGTTAACAACTATTTGAATTCCACATTAAAAACAAAATTACAATTTCAAATACAAAAACGTACCTCTTCTACAAGTTATTAGCTAAAATATTGGTGGAAAAAGAGAAAGATGCCTGTTACTCCTGAGGGAAGACTGAAAGCAAAGGTGACACAGAGAATGAAAAATAAATCACTATTAATGTAATCAAGGTACCAGGCAGCCAGATGCATGATACAATTTTGCAGACCTTAAAGAAAAAAGTTTAATCATTCAAAGTAAGTAGGATCTTTTTGAAGCCTCCTAACATCCATAGCTGATCTCACAACAACATAAGAGTCAGTCCAACACCTGATAAAGAAAAGATACATTCATGTAAGTACTAACCAGAAACCACATATATCCTGAAGATGGTCTAGCAAAACAGTTTTCCCAGGACTATCATCTAAGAACATTAAGTCTAAAAAAGGATAAAAACTTCTAAATATAGGTGCTCAGGGAGCATGCAATGTTGGAGGTTCAGCCTGATCAACTTCAGAGACTGGTGCAGTGTATCAGTAATGAAGATTTGCCCTTTAAGTGTCTGCCCATACAAAATAAAATAAAATCATGACCAAAGAATGAGAAGGAAACATGTTGTATCAGATATATATATACTTCTCCAAGGTACTGCCATCTTAGGAATTGAATTTGAACACAAAATGAAATGACCCATTATTAAATTTCATGACTGAGCTCCAAGAATTATGATAAGAGGCAGCCTGTAAAATATTATGATGTTGTACAGCTATCTAGAAGGCTTGAAAACAAACTAATTGATCCATCTGAAGCTTTGAAATTAGATAACTGCCAAATAGATAATTAATGAAACAGGTAAGCAAAGCTAGTTGATAAGTCAAAGAGATAAGATATGGTAAAAGGTAAAAATGGCATTTATTTTAAAAAGGTGAAAAAACAATGAGTGGGTGAAGTTTACACAAAGATCTGCCTTCAGAAGATGGGTATTATCAAAGAAAACCATTAGCTAAAGTATTTATTGAAAAGAAACCTGGAAAGAATTGGTGCAGACCATCTTTTAAAAACTCAAAATATAATAGTTAAGAAGTTGAAGAAAAGTTATAAGCATAACTAGAATGTTTGATAATGGCAATATTAGGCAAGGTTGGAATAAGACTTAAAAGAACTGGATATTAACTTGTAGCAAAACAAGGTAAAAACCACAAATAAACAAATATCCTAGAACAAACATAAATGAGGTAAGAAGCACGTCTCTGAGGCAGCAACAAAGTAAACAGATGTGATGTTGGGAGACCCTAGTATAGAAATAAAATTGTCTGATACATTCTTTGAAAATAAAGTGCAAGTCAGTTGCAGGCAATTGCACACACAGGATACAAAGATGTATGGACAACAGTCATTCATCAGTAGCATCAAAATAACAAAACGAAAAGAGGACACAAACTATATAGAGAATGACAAACAACAAGATAAGTAATAATTGCCAAATAAGAATGAAACAACCAGACGTGTGAAAAAACAACAACAAAAAACATCCCACTGCTCTGATAGCCTAAGCCTGGAGTGAACAAGGTCCCTACAGTTTGCAGTTGAGAACAAAGTACATTTTACAAACAGGGTTTGATCTCGTTCATGGAATTGAGATAAACCACATAATCATGTGTTGGAGTTTTGGGATACCAGTCCCACATAAATCAGACAAAAGACTTCAATAGGAAGAAAGAGAAATCTACAAAATTTATAAAGCAACAAATGAAACATTCACAGTATAGATAGACTGAACAGAGACCAGTCCAATGCCATTTAGATGTTGCTATAAATGGTAATCCTCATGAGACATATTTTGGGTTTATTAATGGAGTTCAAACATCAAGAGATTTTAAGAGATATTTTGCTGATTTTATTTGTTGAAAATCTAGCCAAATCGGTAAATATTTCACATTTTTGAACAGCTATGTATTCCATTACTTAAATAGACATAGGTGGTACAGAAATTTTAAGGCGTCAGGACAGCAAATGCTGCACAATTTAATTTAAAATAAAAATTTGAATTACTTACACTGCTCATAGATACTTGTTGTTTAACTTGATTTGATATGATTAATTGAGTTTACCTATGTTCATTCAAAATCGTTAGGTTTTTCATTATTTGCTATAAACAAATAATTTCAACTTTGATAATTCTGTCTTTTTTTCTTTGTAATCTCTGTAAATATACATTTAGAAATTTAAGTGCACACTTTCTTTTTTCTCAAGATATTGTCTGATATTTTTAATCCAAATAACAAAAACACTGCACTAACAAAATTTACAATAAACTTTACATACTTACAATGGCTGACAGACTTAGCCTAAGAGTTTTATTTCTGAAATTTTTTTAAAAATTTGCCAAAAATTAAAATTCATTGGCTACAGATTTTTTTTTTAAGTAACCCATAAACCAATTAAAAATTGTAACACCACATTTAACTAAGTTTTTATTTTGCTAGTAATATTCTGAAAGATAAAACCTTCATTGTGTTGTCTTAATTAAACTAATAGGACAAAAAATTGTTATAATTGTAGAAGAACTATCATGTCACGGAAATTTAATTAATTGAAATTAACTATAGACAATATAATAACTTACATATAAACATCATAATGAAATTAAACTCCAGGAGATAAAAGTTGCTGGCCATGTTAGAGTTTTTGCATATTTTTGTTGATACTTTTATTTGTAGACAGTTTAACGAATGAAAATCATTTATCACAGAAGTTCTGCACTTAAATGGCTATCTTTACTAATGGTAAAAAAAATAGATAAAAATCAGTCCTTAGTGATAGATACTTGCATTTCGGAGGACCTGTTGACCAAGGAAATTTGATGCTAAATCACTCAGTTTCTGTCTGTTTTTTATTTTACACCTGAGGTACCCCCACAGATTGGCTCCATTCAAGATGATACCAATACACACTACCATCTGAAAAAATTAAACAACCATTTCTGAAAATATAAGAGACTAGTTGCTTATCAATCTTCAATCAATTTACTTCATACCAAGGAAATCTGAATGATAACATTTAACTGAATACCATCCTAAGATTATGAAAATTGCCACAAAATTTCTGAGAATCAAAATCAAATTTATATTACCTTTAGACAAACAATAAACTACATCACCAAATGATTGTTGAACTAGGTTTTTCTCATTCTTTCTCTGCCATATTATGAGGTCATTTGATCACTTACTATCTCTCGGTTCATAACAGACCCCTCCAAAAACAGTTAGATACCATAATATTTACAATGCAAGTAGAAAATTTAATGACTCATGCCAGTTGCTTTTGTTGTTCTTTTCAGAGATAAAAACATGAGGAGGAAGGATGGAGGGATGTGTGATCAGGTCTAAAATAAAGTCAGCAATCAACCATTCCCCCAAAAATCAAAATTTAGAAGCCAAGTAAAAAAAAAAACAAAATATTGTCAGGACAAAAAATTACATCTTTGAAATTGGTACAAAATATTGCGACTTTAACTTCACAAAATCAATAAAAACTTTATATTTTTTCCACACCATTTTCAATGGTGAATAGCTATGATAATAAAATAATAACTTTATTGTTATGAAATTAACCATTTCCAAATTATAATTTCATTACATCATGAGGAATTTCTGAGATAGTGACTGTTGGTGAGTTTATTGTCAGGTTTTTATAGGCCAGATTCTTTACAGTAGGTGTTTTAAAATAATATATTAAAACAAGTCAAATGTTTGTTACACAGTTAATCACCACAGTTGTATCCAGAGCTTTAAATAATTATCTCATTTCATCAAAGTCCACACAGGCTGGTTTAGTTATTTTAGAACACAGTTGACAAGAGGAATTATTATTCTCTGCTCTCTTATTACAATACGATCTGTATAATTGACTCTTTTCATCAAAGTCCACACAGGTTGGTTCAGTTACTTTAGAACACAACTGTCAAAACAAATTATTTCTTCTCTACTCTGTTATTACAATACAATCTGTGATAATTTCACACTATGAGATATTATGATGATATAATACTCAATCAAAACAATGAGAAAAACTTAGAAGGTTCTAGTAACATAACACAATAATACAACAAACTAAATCTCAAATTACATTTTGTATGTGTAATTATAGCTTGATTGAAGTCTAGAACATTCTACACACCACGAAATATTATGATGCAATAATACTCAATCAAAACATCAAGAAAAACTTAGAAGGTTCTAGTAACATGATGCAATAATACAATAACTGCCAGTTCACAACAACTGAACCACACCAGGTATGATTCATACACAGTTATGTAAACAAACCTGCAATAAACTATTGCTTCTAAACATAACTAAATTCAACACTTGCATCAAACTTAAATTTAATGTTTATGCAAAGATGATTTAAAAATAAAAGGTAACATTTTATAAAAAGCCTTTTCACAATATAAAACAACTCGTACATGAAATATGAAAGTCAGCCACAGGAGTGTATATGAGGAAAAATTCAGAAACTGAGGGAAGAAGATAGATCCATGTATAATTATCTACAGTATCTATAAAGATTAAACACTGACCAGTTCAGGCTAATTCAACAATTTTAAATTGATAATAGGTTTCATAATTAATGGAGAATGATTCACATAATGTTTTCAAAAAAAGAACCAAAATGGGAGTAAAGAAAAAAAAAAAGGAATGAAAGGTAAAACTTAACTTCGAGTTAACCACTCCAGATAAATGTAACCTTAAAGCTGATGCACAACAACATTATGTAAGTAAAAGGCCAAAAACATACTAGAGGAGGTCAATAATAACCATACAAATGTTCTCTGAAGACACAGGAGCAGCATAAGACTTCCTCATTCCTAGATTATTATTTGTTGAAAATCATCAGAAACATCCCCCAAATCTTTTTTTAATATGAAGTTCTGTCCAACAAAAAAGTGGTAAAGTCACTCAAAAGAAGATATCATAATATACAAACAAATGGGAAAGAAACTATTATGTCAACTAATGTGGGTCAAAGAACAGTGAAATTCCTAGACTTGGTAAAATAATCTGTCCAATTATTTACAACCCGCTTGACTTGCAATTTAAGGGTTGCAGATTCGAATTCCTGTCCCACCAAACATGCTCGCCCTTTGAGCCATGGGGGGTGTTATAATGTGACAGTCAATCCAACTATTAGCTGGTAAAAGAGTAGCCCAAGAGTTGGTGGTGATGACTAACTGTCTTCCCTCTAGTCTTTCACTGCTAAATTAGGGACAACTAGCTCAGATAACCCTTGTGTAGCTTTGCACAAAATTACAAAAACAAACAAACAAATCTTTCTGCTGGCTATTCCTAACCACCTGGCCATTAAAATATCTTAATCTTTTCTCTAGTTACCCAAGTGTATTGTAAAATAGTGGAAGGAAATGATGTTTATATTGAATCAAAGACATAATTCCAACTGATGTCCATATAAAGCAACTAAAATTTTTAAAAAATCAGAGGAAAAGTCTAACATTATAATTTTCCTATACTGAAAATGTATTTCCGATAGGTACTTACTTTTTCTCATATAAATAGCCATTGTTGTTCAGCACTGCACCTATATGCATTTCTTTGCCGGATGCCACAAGCCTTGAGCTCCCATGTACCCAAAGATCAACATGGTTCAACTGTGTCTCTTATACAAATCATCATGCCAGCAACCCTCCACGAATAGGAATGACTCCCTCTATTCAATTCTACCGAACTACCACTTCAAACTTTGGCAGGAAATGGAAGCACCGGGGAGGAAGGGTGGGAAGTGTGAGAGGAGACAAGTACCTATCAGAAATACATTTTCAGTACAGGAAAATTATAAATTCTAATATGGTACATTACCTATTCTCACGTAAATAGCTAAAATCCCACATTGAATTGGTGGAGGGACCAGTGCAAGGGAAAGAAAGAAGCAACCTTCGAAAGTATCTGAAATACTTCCCTAAAAGAAATCTTCGCAGTAGAGGATCACACATGGGAGACTGCACCATTTCTGTACCAGGTATACTCTTTGCCCAGTGTGGAAAGAGGTGTCACAGACATGGGCAGAAATTGGGAGGAGCACATCCAAAATGGAGAGAACAATGGTTGGATAGGGATCCAAGCCACATGATAATGGAATCTCAATCCCATAGAGTACGTCAATGTAGGTAAGAGTAAAAAATGTGCCTCTAGGTGTAGAGTGGCTAGGAACTGACATCCATGTGGGGGTAAAAAAGAGGATTATATTGGCAAGTCAACTACAATCCAAAACTCACACATCTGGTGGGGGTAAGAAAGAGGATCACACCGTTTTCACCTCAAGTTTAGTAGACCAAAGGGAATCTCAAACCCCCCGATCTATGAACAGGACACATGATAGCAATGTGATAAATTGTTTGACTGATCCAGGAACCCAACATCTGGACAATTGGTATAGTAAAGATGTCTCTGTAATGTAAACTATCTAACTCAAAACCAATCTTATAGCCCCCACATCAATAACATCCTTGGTATAAGAAAATCATTGAGGGTTAGCATAAAAGGAAGAATCATATTAATCTGCAAGTTTCATTGCTGTGACACACAACATGGGTGGAGGGAACAAGAGTATAAATGAGTCAGGAAACATAGTCTTGGATAAACTTGCACAGAGATGGAGCATCAAATTGGAGGACATCTCGTCATCTGCACCAGCAGAACATCACCGCCATACTTTCAACTGAATGATGTTATCATTATCACATTCAGGAGGATGTCTCCAAGGTCCACTACCCCAGTGGCTTGGAACTGGTAGGTGGTAAGAAAAAGGGGTAGAAAATGCAGTGGAGAGTCCAGAGGAATGTCAACACCAGAGGCAGTGCAATGGGAGACCATGAAAAACCTATTTTGGAAAGCAGACCACTCCCGATTTATTGAATTTAAGGAATGGCAGGAATGGCCAGCTATCCCTTCTTGCTTTACCCATGAATTCCCATGTATATGGGAGATAAACGTATGAGGTTTAGTCCCAGTGCTTGATGGAAGACGTATCTCCAGTGTACAATGAGGGTGAGATGCAGGTAAAACAGAAAGTGTCTAATCAGAGTGAAGACACTTGGAATTGATTATAGGAAAAAAGGAGAGAGGGAAGAAAAGGCCAATCTAATCAAAAGATGAATCTAAATGGCAAGGGAGGAAGGAAAAAGTCACAAACAGATTAGTGGTGCCAGGGAATGAAACAGCAGGAAAAGGAACCAATGGAAAGAAGCCTTGAAGATAATGAAACAACCCAGAGCAGGTATAGGACAGAGAAGGCCAACCAGATCCAACTGCGATTAAAGGTTGGAGACAGAAAGAAATGAAAATGAAGAAAAGGAAGAACATGCATCATGAGCTACCAAAGTGGAGGGTGGGAAAAACTGATTCAGAATAAAAAGGACCGATTGAGCTGAAGTAGCTGAGAAAACCAGATCAGTGTCAGCCAGGAAGGAGCAGTCAGAAAGACCTGACACAGAGTGGCAAGGATGAATGAAATAACCCAAGGCAGATGATGACTGGGATGAGAAAATAAATGTATAAATAGGTCCCAATCCTGTCTGAATGCATCAAGACAGACATATAGATCTGAAACATGCTCAAAGGGCAAAGCATGAAACTAGTACCCAACCTCATGGTGAACAAACTTAAGACAGTGCCACGAGGGATGAAAAATAGAAATGTGGGCATAAAAATACAAAATATTGACTGTGGGCATCCTCAGTCCTGGAGAAAAAACCCACAATAGTGTGATAAAAGACAATATAGGAAAAATGGAAAGAACCAAGAGGTGAATGAGGTGGGATAGATCAATCACAGAACTCCAATCTGCATTGAGAATACACGACTAATGGAGAAATGCTTAGATGTAGGACATGTAAATGATGAGAAGGTGCCGGACATGGAACATGAATAAAAAATGCAATGGC